TCGATATTTTGGTAGACAATGCTACAAGACAGTTTGGAATATCTAATAGTGCCTTTTATTAAACAAGATCTTCCTCTAAATATAGGTAAATATAGTGTATTAGAAAATTTTAAAAAATCGTACCATTCCAGCGACAAATAGTATTTTAATGTGTTGGTATAATAAATTTTTATTGCCAACCTGAATTTTTAACGTATTTTTTATATATGTGACTAAAGCCGCTCACATTTTTCTTATGATTACGCAATAATTTAATACAAAAACAAACGTAACTCGTTTCAAAAATTTGCTGTTCTAACAAATCTATTTTAAATTAAAAAGAAATTTCAAAAAATTGTTACTTAACTGTTTTTCATATATGAAAATATCTGGAAATTAAAACAAATATATGGGGGGAGCGATTTTCAGCACTGGGGTCACATTTAAATATCTGGCTACGCCTATGCTGTGGAGCAGTTAATAATAAAAATTGGCTTCATGATTAATGAATGTTTCGCTTTTAAAATAACCTTTTACGGAAACAAGTAACTTGGGATATATAGTTTGGCAAAATGATCTTCCAAATGTACCAAAATGAAAAAAAAAACAGTTATTTTAAGATATTTACGTTTTCTGGCTTCTAGTCATCTTTGGTGCCTTAATTCCAATTAGAAAATTTTATGACAACAATAAAAACGTTACAAATTGCTACAAAAATCGCATCATGCTACATCCACATACTTCTGCGGTTGGAAACCAATCCTATTCTTAGCCTGGTCTGGTGTATTGTTTTTATTATGAAAATAAACACAAGACCCGTGTGAATCGAAAATACTGCCTCGTCGTTGGGATTTTAAAGTATATTATTTCTACAAATCCTAAACAAACACTACGAGATTTTATTTTGATGGATTTTGGACTAATATTTTTAATTGGGTTATCTTTATTACCGTTGGAATGAGGTGGTATATCTGTCAAAAGGAATGTTTACTTTATATTTACGAATAAAGACTACAAATAATAAATTGCATATTATTTATGTTCAATAAACTTAATCAGCTCGTAATTACGCTAGAAAATCTCTCCTTACACGATAGTTAGATACTAAAAAAATAATAAAAAGAAATATATGGGATAAAATGTATATAAAATGTATAAAATATGATTGAAAGTGTGCCCATAGCCTTTCGCAAAATAATTTTGGTGTATGTCTATACTATTAATGAAAAATTCTTAATCAGGAAATTTCCCGATAAATTGGGTCTCTACTGACCTCTATTTTGCCTTCTAGAATGTCGTCCCATGGTGGAACGACTCCTGTAAACTCGCAATAAAAGAATACAAGAAGGCTCTTAATAGATATCGCAAAACTCGTAGTATCGAAGATCTTATTCATTTTAAGAAAATGCGTGCAAAGTCCAAATGAATTCTGAAGGAAAGCAAAAAAGAATCCTGGAAAAAATTCGCTCTCCCGCCCAAGTGTGGACAAAAGTTAAACAAATGAGAGGTTTAAAGACATATCGCAAAATATCCGCAATAACAGATGGAGATAATATCATTAGAAAGGATAACCAAATATCCGAAACGCTAGCCAAATACTTTCAAAACAAAACTAACTCTGAACTCTCCATTTCGCACACCACAAATCAATCACCACCTAACCCTATCCAAGCCAATCAAATAAACCTCGCCTTCACAGAAGTAGAGTTAATCTTTCTCAAACATCTACAGGCAGGAACCCTCTTGAAGCTACTTGCGCTCTACAATAAGATATGGTTCAGCCAAAGCTTTCCGAGTCTTTGGCGACAGTCGCTTATCATACCGATCAGGAAAATGACTCATTTTCTAGCACTGCCAGTGCCTACAGGCAAATCTCACTAACATGTACAATGTGCAAACTACTAGAAAATATGATAAATAAACGTTTGCTTTGGTTTCTTGAAGTAAACAATCTGATAGATGCAGCACAGTTGGGATTCAGACCCAATCGAAGTACGATGACGATGGAGAAACTGGTACTTCTCCAAACAGAAATAACCCAAGCTATATTAAACAAAAATGACGTTGTCACAGTTGCCTTAGACTTAGAAAGTGCCTTTGACACAATAAATAGAGCTGCTATTATTAGAAAACTTGAGAAACTTAATTTAACGCGTAATATTATCAACTTTAGAAACAATTTCCTACAAGAGAGATCATTCAAAGTAGTTGCAAAAGGGAAAAAAATCTTACATCACATATCTCATAAAATGGAGTCCCCCAAGGCTCAGTGCTCAGCCCCACACTATTCCTTCTTAGCATTAACGATATAAACTCTCTTGTTCTTCCTCCAATAAAATACTCAATATACGCAAATGATCTTGTTCTTTATTGAAAAGGTAAACTTACAAGAAGCACATGCTCTTTACTCCAAAACACTCTTAACAATCTTCATAACTGGTCCATTGAAATTGGAATCAAATTTTCATCTAGAAAATCTAAAGTCATAAACTTCTCTAAAAGACATCACACTGATCCTCTACTTAACCTAAATGGATCTCCTCTTCAAGTGATTGATAAACACAAATTATTAGGAGTAATATTCGACAAAAGACTTACATGAAGAGATTAGATACAGAATACAAAAACAAACTGCCTAAATAGAAACAATATCTTAAAAACTCTATCTCATTATCAATGGGGGGCAGAAGAGAAAGTCCTCTTAAGAATTTACAGAACATTGATCCGCTCTAGGTTGGATTACGGAAGCATTCTCTACATATCTGCTTCCAATACTCACTTTAAATGTCTGAATACAATTCACAACACTTCTTTACGCATTAGCCTAAGTGCCTGTAAATTAAGTCCTTCTGAAAGTCTTTATATCGAATCTTCAGAACGTCCACTTTTATAAGGCGGCAACGTCTACTTCTGTCTTCTTCTCTAGAATTTTTGCTAATCCAAAAAATCCAGTAATTAAACTAATTGATACTCCCCACCCTGTCCCAGATAATAGTCACCCTCGAGCACATTCTCTCTCACAAATTTTAAAAACTTTACTAAAAGACATAGACCTAAAATTCACAACTCCGTTTAATACCTCCAGAATTCCCCGTGGACCAAAAAGCTACCTACTGTCCTTACCAGCTTGAACCGATACAAAAACAAGAAACGCCCAGAATTCTCTTGGTACAAGCATTTGAGGAACTTATACAGACACAGCATTATGACAAAATTCTCTACACAGATGCCTCCAAAGAAGAACAGGCCATCTGTTGTGCCGTCAGTACCTCAAACACAACAATAGCGTTCCATCGGCTTTCTCCTAGATGCAGTATACACACAGCCGAACTGTATGGAATACTTAAGGCATTAGACTCCTCCATTGCTAATGAGAATTTCATTAGCAATATGCACTGACTCTCTCTCCGCCATTGACTCAATCAGAAATATACTCCATACATCCCATTGTACAGTGCATCCACAGTATCTGCCAATAACAGTCAAAAAATGGTGTTTCAGTAACTATCATCTGGATACCATCCCATGTTGGTATCAATGGAAATGAGAACGCTGATTATGCAGCAAAACTGGCCTGCTCCTTAGAAAATATGGAAAATATACAACTTCACCAAGACCTAAAGGCCAGTATCAAGAACAACGTACTAAGCACTTGGCAAACACATTGGAACTTGCAAAACACAAAACTACGTACAATTCAACCAACTGTTACTTCCATCACCATGCCTTAAATGGGCAGAAAAGACAATATCATTATCAGAAGGCTCAGAATAGGTCACACTCGTCTTACTCATGGATATTGATGTCTTCTGAAAACCATCGTCGCTGTGAACATTGTAATGAGTTCTTAACAGTCCAGCACATATTACTAGAATGTGTCCACTACAAACCTCAAAGAGACTACTACAACCTTCAAAATAATTTAAGTGATCTACTCGGTTCTACACCCATGTACATTGCCATAATTCGTTGTCTAAAAGACTGTCACCTTTACTACTTAATGTAATTATATTAGATGTTGTTAATGTATCCTAACTTGTATATAAACAGATTGTATATGTATGTAAACATAAACATATTGTAATCAATTTTGTACCAGTGTCAATGACCCATAGTTTAGACACTTTAATTTAAAATTAAAAAAAAATGGTACACTCTAACAGAAATATGGTCAATCAAACAAACCACCACCATTTAAATGGACAAAATGTTCTAGTTTACTCCGAAGTATTTTTTAACAAAAATTAAAAGTGATATTTTAGTACTTTGTATATCTACTTTGAATATAAATTATCCTTAACACGATAGTATTTGTTTCAGAAAAAAAATTATTAAATAAGTAGGTGAAAGAAATTTACGTTAAATAACATTATGCAAGAATAGTATTTAATAAATAAAATGTAACAAAATATGCAAAACTGTGAACAACGGTTTAATGACACATATATTTATATAATACCTAAAATTTAGCAGAGTTAAACATTATGAAGAACACCAGTGCAGTTTATTATGCCATTTACTACGAGTTTTTATTCTGCACATCTTATCATTAAGGCCGGCCATACACTAGGAGGTACACCTGACAGGTACTTCTAAAAAGTTACGCCTCATACTCGTACTTGATAGTATGTGGCCAACCTAAATACCTACTCTTTATTGGAATGTATTTGTTCGATTCTAAAACCAGTCGCATACTGATAACAAATAGGTACTAGTAGGACTTCTTAAATCTCTAAAAATACCTATTTGTAGAGATTTAAAAGGAAGAATTTGTTAAAGGGCTTAAAAGAATATTTTGAAAAAATAAATCTCAAAATATCAATAAAAATCGTATGTTGAACACCCCATTCTTTAATTCCACGCAAAAATCCTGAATATGTTCCAAAATACACAACATTCCAAGCCTGAATTCGAAACATACTTAATTTGAAAAGCTGCGATTGGTGTTCCCGAAATTCCTTAAGAAATGGGCGGGACATGATAAGCACACACGCCCCGAGGGTTTTCGGGACTTAACGCCCAATTTGTCAAGAGCCAAACACTAATTGATGTTTAATGAGGATCAAGTGGATGTTGTGATTTGTTTTTGTGGGTGAAGTGAGTGATTTTCCGGTAAGTAGCTAATTAATAAAAATGTGTATTATATGTTGTCCTTTTCGTAATTATTCTTTTTTCGATTGTAATCTCACTCAAATATATATATATATATATATATATATATATATATATATATATATATATATATATATATATCTACCTACATGAACTTCATTTACCCAAAATATGACATTTCCCTAAATTTTTCCATTATTTATATAATTATTCTATTGCACGTTTTTTTTTTGCAATCATCCGCTAATTGTATTTGTGGTCTTCATATCCAATATTGTGTCCTGAAAACGTCGATTTTGCTATTTCTCGTCCAAAATCTCTTACTGTAGTTTTGTCTTTAATTCGCTTATTTCTCTTTGTTTCCTTTAGTTTTACATTTAGTAAATATTTGCCTTGCATGACTCTTTGTATTTTCTATTCTAACATTTTCCTTGTAAAAGTCCATATTTGAGACTTATAAGGAAGAAGAATACAAATTGGATTAAATCTTTTGTTTCTAGTATATATACAAGCTATATGCTTCCGAAGAAGCTGAAGCTGTTTTCACTTGAAGATCCTTTTTGTGTGGGGGATCATCCCATTCTGGGTTTTGTTTTACTTTACAGTTTCTGATGTGACTTCGCTGTTTCCACTACTTTTCTCCATTCTTCTGTCTTTTTGATTGTTCTTTCTATATTTCTAATTTCCATACTCATTAAGTTTTCTTCCACTTGTTGTCTCCATCCCACTTTAGGTCTGCGTCTGGTACTTTTACCTGGTAGTATCCATTCCGTTATAACTCTTAACGGATTGCTCTTTTCTCTTCTCATTATATGTCCATACCATCTAGTTCTTCGCGCTTTTATTGCTCTAACTATGTTGTCTCGGCCCATCCATGCTTGTATTTCGTGATTCATCCATTGTCTTGCATCTTCTTCTTTTCCTCTCTTTGGTCCTAGTATTCTATGTCCATTCTTCTTTATAGTTATAGTAAACAATCTTGTTTATAGTTCCTGCGTTTGACAGCTTTTTTATTATCTTGTCTAGTGATAGAATAAATAGTATCTCCTTCTCCTTGTCTTACTCCGTTTTTTATTTTTATTATTTCTGTTCTTTATCTTTCGGTGTCTATTATAACTTGGGAACCTCGCATTGTCATTTCTATCATTCTAATAATTTTAGTTGTATATTAGTATCTTGTAAGTCTTGGATCATTTTTCTTCTGTTTAGTTTGTCAAACGCTTCTTTAAAGTCTAGGAAAAGTATGTGTGTTTCTGCTTCGTTTGTTTCTAGTATTATTAGTATTTTTTGTATTTTTAAGGATCTAGCCCAATTTACAAAACACCACCCATGCATCCATTTAGCTTGATTTTGTTTGTTTATTTTTATTAGTTCACCAAAATATATATATTTATGTACCTTGAAATCTTATTATGATGTGTTGTCCTATTTTAATAGTTATATTTTCTTGTGTATTTGTCTTCGTCTTTGTCGTATTATAATTTATTTAAGTCCTGTACTTGTAACTTCCACAAGTTGTCAACCATTTTCCACCCACTCCTGAATGTAGGTCTCTCCCAATTGCTTCCATCTTTCTCTATCTTGCGCCAATCTAATCCACTGTTTGCCTGCGACTGCTCTTATGTCATTTACCCATCTTTTTTTATGTCTTCCCATGTTTCTTGTTGTCGTCCTTGGTCTCCATTATCTTTGTTATGCCGCTTGAATTTTTTGCTTTCAGTACTTTCATATTGCAGTTATCCTGTATTATGTCTTTTATTAGATTGTTAGTATAGTTTTTATGATCGTTCCTAATTTCTTTCTTCGCGTTTTTGTTTAAACTTTTGAAGCTGTCCGAAATTCCATCTGTTTTGTTTCGTCTATCTTGGAGTAGTTTAATTGTATTAGGTTGGAGTTTAGATGTTTTGGCTGTTTTCGTGTTTGAGCATATTTTCTTAACCGATGTTGTTACAGTTACTTTTATTTTATTGGCTAGTCCGTTTATATCCATTTGTTTCAGTGTCTCTATTGATTTTAGTCTTGTGCTTAGCTCTTTTTGGTATTCCGTTTGTTTTTGAAACAGGACATCGGTGGTTGGGTATCGTTCTCGTTTAATAAGTTTGTTTCGTTCTACTCTCGTCTGTATTTAATATTTGCTCTAACCAATCTATGGTCACTCCCGGTATAGAATTTGGTTATCACTGTCACGTCGGTGCATATGTTTTTGTTATTGGAGAGTATTTAGTCTATTTCATTCTTAGTTTTCTTGTCTGGGCTGATCCATGTCCATTTACTCTGTTTAACAGTTGTACAACATCTCACCCCTTTTGTTTCTGTTGTCCAGCCCAAAGTGACCGATATATTGTGTGTCGCTCTCTTCTTTTGTTCCAATTTTTGCATTAAAATATCCCGTGATTATTACGAAGTGTAATTTTTCTTGGTTCCTTTGTGAGTTGTGGAGAGTTTCCTTTCCAGCTACGTCTTTATTTATGTCTTCTTTTCCTATCATTGCGTTGAAATCGCCTAGTAAAATTAATATGTCACTATAGGGTATATTTTCGTATATCTCATCGAGTTTTTTGTAAAACTCGTTTTTGTCTTCTTCTTTACCATCCTCAGTCGAAGCATTAGTATTAATCAATATTAAATTAGTGTCTTTCAGTGTCAATCACCTTGTCTCTTAGTTTACTGCTAATTAGGAAAGTTGTATCATTATCTTATCTATAAAGCTGGTATCTCCGGAATAAAACATTGTATTATTTTTTACTATTACCCCTGGATATTTCCATCGAATTTCTTGTAACGCTAAGATTACGATCTTGTACTTTTCCATCTCCTTTACCAGTTCTTCCATTTTACCGGCTCTTAATTGAGTCTTAATAGTCCATGTTTCTATTCGTATCCTGTTAGTTTTTCTTTTATTTCGATTTTTTGTTTTTAATTTTTTCTTGCACTCTTTACTACTTTTTCCTTATTCATAGCCAATTGTCATTCCTTCTTTTTATCAGTTGCTGTATTCTTAATTAGTTTTTTGAAGTTTTGATTATCTCTGTTATTTTCGCTAGTTTATCTTCAGTACTTGGGCTTCCCATGGGGATCTTTAACTGACTGTTTTAGTTTTATTTTTGTTTTACTGTGATTTGTTACTTTTTTAATGTTTACGTTTTGGTTTGAGTGGTACTTTAAATATTTGTTGATGTGAGTTGGTTTTTTGTAGATTTTGGTTGCATATCCAGTATCTTCTTTTATGATTATCACATCAAAAGAGTAAGCAAACTGTTATTTTCTTTTTGCATGGTGAATTTGATTGATTCTTCTTTGTTGTTGGTCCATCAGAATTTTATCCAATGCTTCTAATCCGTGAGGCCAAATTCAGGACACATCTTCTACATATATGTACTATAGTGTAGTATTTGTCTTGTTTGTGTACAATGTTTTGTTCAAAATCTTGCACAAATATAGCTGCTAATAATAGAGATAAGGATGAGCCCAGGAGTAATCCGAAATTTTTTTATAGAAATCATTAGAAAGGCTCTAAAGTCATTTGCATGTGAGTCAAAGTTGGTTTGGGACTATAAACAATCTCTCAAGAAGCTGGCGGAACGCAACAATGTAACTGTGATGTGGATGCCAGGTCACAAGGGACTTGCAGGAAATGAGGAAGCTGACAGCCTCGCAAAAGAAGGAGCTAATACCCCATTCCAGGGTCCGGAACCCTTCTGTGGACTATCGAAAAGCCACATCAGAGAGGAACTCAGTACCTGGGAACTCAATCAACTAAGATCATATTGGTCTAACACACCAGGATAAAGGCAAGCAAAAAGGCTCATAAAAGTGTCGCCTACTGCAACAAACCGCCTTCTCGAAATGAGTAAGAAAAATATTAAAATGGTCACTGGCCTTCTCACTGGTCACTGCCCTTTGAGATATTATCTCAAGAAGATGGGCAAATCAGATAGTGAGAACTGTCGTTTCCTAGGAGAGGTCATTCTGGCATCCTCTGACATAGGAAACATGTCACGTAGGAAGCTAATCAACTTCATCAAAAGTATTGGCACTCTAGAGTTTAACTAGATTAAGGTTTGCACAAAAGATCTCTATAGGTCGAAGTGCGGTGAGGCCGCATGGCCTTAACGACCTCACATAATCTAATCTAATCGAATAGAAATCATTATCTAAGTGTTGTCCGACAATGTTAATAGCTCTGTGATAGCTGATAGATTCAGTTTGGATTTCGTTGTCAATGTTGATCCCTCTCTAATTTGCCTCTTGATATTTTTAAAGTTTCCTCCAATTGTACATTGATGATGATGTAGCTTTGGATAAAACTTTAAAAATTAAAATAAATGGATGATACATTAACAACAAAATCTAAACTGAATGTATCAGCTATCATGGAGCTACTAACATTTTGTACTGACAACACTTATTTTCAACTAAATAATGATTTTTATAAACAAAATTTCGGATTAACTATGGGCTCCTTAACTCCTTTATTAGCAGATATATTCATGGAGAATTTCGAAAAAAAACATTGTAGACAAACAAGACATTGTACACAAACAACCTAGAACATGGTGGAGATATTTACTCATCCATTTGGAGTTAGGAACAGAAGCATTGGATAAATTTCTGATGGACATCAACAACAAAGAAGAATCAATCAAATTCACCATGAAGAAAGAAAACAACAATTTACTTCCTTCTTCGGATGCAATAATCACAAAAGAAAACACAACACAACAAAGTCTGAATTTGATATTTCGATAGTAAAAAATCGCTCCCAGATTTTGTGTCAACCAAAAGAAGGCTTTTGTCTGCAAGATCGACATTTAAATATATTTTTTGAAAACAATTTTCGGAGTGGAAATCGAAACGACAAATCTTATTAAAAAAGGAATTTTCATTTCAATCAACTGCGGCTTAACCCCAATAAACATAATCATCATCATCATCCAGCCGAATTTTCACATCCATTGTTGGATATAGGCCTCCTCCAAACGTCTCCAGTTCTCTCTATCTCTAGCTGCTGCAATCCAGTTTGTTTCTATTCTCTTTAGGTCGTCGGTCCATCGGGTGGGTGGTCTGCCTCGACTTCGCTTGTCGGCTCTTGGTCTCCACTCCAATAATCTCTTCGTCCATCTTCCGTCTTCCATTCTAGCAACATGTTGAGCCCATTTCCACTTTTGTTTATTGATTCTCAGTATAATATCGTCTACGCCAGTTCGTCGGCGTATCTCCTCATTTCTTACTCGATCTTTCAAGGTCAGGCCCAGCATTGATCTCTCCATTCGCCTTTGTGTTACCCTCAGTTTTTCGGCAGTAGCTTTCGTCAAAGTTAAGGTCTCTGCTCCGTAGGTCAAGACTGGTAAGATGTATTGGTTAAATGCCTTTCTTTTCAGGTGAATTGGGATATTTGTTTTAAAAATGTCTCTCATCCGTCCATATGCCGCCCATCCCAACGTGATTCATCTATTTAGCTCGCAGGTTTGGTTGTCTCTGGTTATTTTAATTTCATGACCCAAGTATGTGTATTTATCGATTAATTCTACCTTGTTGTTATTGATCTGTATCTCTTCGCTGGGAACCATATTGGTCATCATTTTGGTTTTCTCAAAATTTATCTCCAGCCCAGTTTCTTGTAGTATGTCATTCAGTTCTTGGAGCATGTCTTTAATCTCTCCCAGATTATCTGACAGAAGCACGATATCGTCCGCAAAACGTAGATGGTTTAATCTTTCTCCATCGATGGATATTCCTTTCTGTTGCCATGTTAGTCTTTTAAATGCATACTCAAGAACGGTAATGAACAGCTTTGGTGACATGGTATCACCTTGTCTGACTCCCCTTTTTATCTTTATTTTATTAGTTGCAGAATATAGACTTATGGTTGTTGTGGCATTTTCATATATATTTTTAATTATATTACAATATCTGTGGTCGATCCTGCAATCTTGTAGTGCTCTTAAGATGGACGGTAATTCCACTGTATCAAACGCCTTTTTAAAGTCTACAAATATCAATGCCAAGGGACGGTTATATTCGTTAGTTTTTTCTATTAGGGTTTTTAGGCACTGCAGGTGATCGTTTGTGCCATAATTAGGGCGGAAACCAGCTTGTTCCCGAGGTTGGTAAAAATCCAGCTTTGTCTCTAATGTATTCGTTATTATTCGGGTGTATAATTTATAAAGATGGAGACTGATTGGTCTGTATCTTTCCAGGTCTGCTATATCTCCCTTCTTGTGTAAGAGTACAGTTATTGAATTATTCCACTTTGTTGGGATATTTTGATTCCATAGGCATAGATTAAAGAGCTTTTGAATTTTGGCTATCAGTACTGAGCCTCCTAACTTTATCGCTTCCGTGACGACACCATCCTCCCCCGAGCTTTGTTATTTTTCATCTTTTTTTAGAGCCTTGTAAATTTCGTCCAAGGAGATTTCTGGAATATCTTCGGAACCCTGATTTTATACCTTCCTCTGTTGATATTCGACTATATCTAGAGTCGATTGGTTGCTATATAATGTCTCATAGAATGATTCCACAATTTGTAACAAATGTTCTCTGTTTGATGTGATGTTGCCATTTCTATCCTTGAGTTTGACTATTTGTTTATTTCCATTTGTGAGTTTGCGTTTCATTATTTTCATACTCTTATTTTCCTCAATGGTTTTGATGATTTTCTCATCTTTGTATTTTCTTAAGTCTTTTCTGACAATATACATAATATTTAATAGAATAAACATATAAATAAATAATATAAACATAATATTTAACAGAAAAGGTAGTGGTAGTAATAATGGTACTTTTATGTCCCTGCTTGTTTATAAGTTTTTTTCTGTGTATTACTTTATAAGTTATGTATTTTATATTATCTACTATATTTAAAGGGAATTCGCCACAATTTTATTTGAAAATATTTGATGTTTCAATTTTTACCTCAAAAAACATTATATAAGTGTTTTATAATTATTTTTTCTGACTGTTTTTATTGTTTTTTTAAAACTATTGTTTTTTTTTTCATCTTGCTCACAAAATATTACAGCATTTCTTCTTTTTCCAGATGTAGAATGCCACGTAAACGTCGCTCGGCAGAAACAGATTCTGAAGATGAACACGACGATTCGAGACGTCCTCAACGCAACGCTGCCAATGAACGCGAGAGGGCTCGCATGCGCGTACTTAGTAAAGCCTTTTGTCGTTTGAAAACCACTTTACCGTGGGTACCAGCAGACACAAAATTGTCAAAATTGGACACTTTGCGACTTGCTACTAGTTATATTGCTCATCTTAGAGCTGTACTGATGGACCAACCAGTCTCCGGTGATAGTTTGCCAAAACACCCCCTCACTCTGGTAAGTTTATTTTACAGAAAAATATAGTACACGGATTAGTATACTTTGTGTCGCTCTTTTATGTCCTATTTTCGATATAGGTCTCATTTTCTGATTGATATATCTCTACCTACCACAATAATATACAGTGTGTTCATAAAGTGTGGACACCTGACAGCTTTCTATTGCATTCTAAAAATTTTAAGTGCATTTGTTGAATTGCCCCATATAATTGCACCATAGTTTAGGTGAGAATGGAATAAAGAAAAATATGTCTTTTTTAATGTTTCGAAGTTGACAACCCTTTCTAGTTGGCGAATGACAAATAATGAACTTGATAGCTTTTTCTTAAGTTGTGAGATATGAGCCGACCTATTGAGTTGATTATCTACCGTTATTCCCAATAGTTTAAGAGTCTCTTTGTTATCTAGATCATTGTGTAAATTACTTGCAGATATAATTAAATTTTGCGTTTTATCGTAGTTAAATTTTAGTTTGTCTGCAGCAAACCATGAGCTAGATTTAGTAGAAACTTCCTCATGAGACATCTTTAAATCATTATTATTTTTTCCTGATATAACGTATCATCTGCGAATTATATGGATTTGAACGGAGATATGAATTTAGGCAAATCGTTGACATAAATAATAAACAAAAGAGATAGAAAATCGAAGAGATGTCCTTTAGACACTACCGCCTGGTGTCTGGCACATAGATAAGAAGCTATAAACTTAAGAGGGATACCTCCGATTCCATAGTAATTTAATTTGTGGAGCAAAATATCGTGTGAAACGCAATCAAAAGCCTAAGACAAGTCGCAAAGAGAAATTGCTATGCGATTGCTGCGTTCAAGCCTCTCAATCACCTCGCTCACAACATTAAATACTGCGTTCGTTAGTAGAACGAGCACTTCTGAATCCATATTGTGAGTTGCTAAAGTAATTATTTGACTCAAAATAGAAATAAAATTGTTGTTTGATAACCTTTTCAATCACTTTCCCAAAACTAGAAACAATGCTTATGGGTCTGTAATTTTCAGTTTTCAGAATCACCTTTTTTGTAGATTGGTAGTACTTTTGAGTATTTTAGTACTTCTGGAAATACTTTAGTTGATATAATTAAATTAATAAGATGAGTGAAAGGTGTTAAAACTAGTTGGTACGTTTCTTTTAAAATTTTGCTATTACTTTCGTGAACGTCCCTACAATTAGAATTACTAAGAAACTTTATTATTTGAAAGACCTCTTCTTCCAGCAATTTTTAATTGACGATTATATTCAAATTTTTGTTGTTTATATACTTTGAACAAATCGGTGTCCTTAGTGGCATCTGCAATGTGTTTAATAAGAGAAAGATGAGATCTGTAAGATTTTAATTCATTATTAAACCATTTCACGGGAGTTTTTTCAGCCGTTTGTCGTACTTTTTTTAGTGGAAAAGGGTTTAATATTAAATTGCTATAAGTTTAGGTTAGAAAGACTGTTAAAAAATCAGGACCATTATTAATATCATAGAAAAAGTCCATATTTGTACTAGCTAGCGCACATATAAGCTTCTGTAAACCACAAGAAGTAATAAGCCGTTGAAATGTTTGATTAGTGTCAACAACTTTATGCTCAGAGTCAATAAATAAAAGTTGAGCTCGATGGTCAGAAAAACAAGGTTCAAATACGCCTACTCTGTAGATATTTTCAGAAAAATTTGTTATAATGTTGTCGATGCAACTACTGGACTGGGATGTGGTTCTAGTATAATCGTTTATAGTTACGTTTAGACCAAAAGATGTTAATAGATTTTGAATATCAAACAAAATGGTCAGATTCAATTTTAAAATTTATATTAAAATCACCAAGTATGATAAGTTTGTCTGCTTTACTAAGCAAGGATGTTATGACATTTTCAAAATTAATCAAAAACAAGTCAAAGTCACCTTTACCCGATCTGTATACAGTTATAAGATTGGTTTTTATTGAAGGTACATCAGTTGCACAAAACTCTGAACTTTGCTCAACATTACATTAATTTAGATTGAGAGAAGAATACATAAGATTTTCTTTTTACAATTGGAACTCTGCCTTGTTTCTTTTTTACCCTACAAAAGAAATTAGCTAATGAAAAGCCGGAGATGTTAATTAATTTTAAATTTTCTTCACTTTGACAGTGCTCCGAAAAACATATGACGTCATATAATTTTTGATCCGCAAGAAAAGCATTGATCATATCGACTTTATTTGAAATACACTGCAAATTAACATGAAACATGCTTACCGTACCTTGACGAATTAGTTTATTTTGATAAAGGTTTGTAGAAACCTCTAGGTTTCTTCCTCCGTCTTCTTTTTGTGCTGAAAATTGCTGTTGAAGTTAAATCTCCTAACGGCAGATCCTTTGGGCCGAATATTGGGACTGTAGACTTCGTCAATTTTATCGAAAGTGAAAGATACCTTATATGTGTAATATTTGTCAGTTCTATGCCATTCAACGTAGTTAAAAGTAATATCGGGTACCGTCCCACCCAAAAATTTTAAAAGATCATCGGCTTTTAAATCAACACCTTTACGAGACACATGTACATGACCTTGTCTAGGAATGGTGTAAAGATGATTTGTTACTTCCAATAATCGGTTTGTATTTGTTTCTTTTTTGGATTGGGTATTCCAAGATGAGTGTCCTGTTTTTAGATTGTTTTATTTTCTTTTTATTTATTAGATTATCAAAACAAAGCTATATAAATAAATTTTCGTCTTGAGTTTTCAGACGCTATGGCTAATAGACTTAATATTAACTATTTAAAATATTATTAAAATAAAAAGGGGTTATGCTTGAACATCCTCCTCATGTATTTGCAACTCCAGCAATATAATAAGACGGCCGAACAAATAGGTAAATAATTTTAAATTTATTAAAACAAATATGTATCCCTACAATCTGAAATCAAATACTGAATGGAATAGAGATGATCGGATGAAAACATTGTATATTTCCGGATAAAAGGCGTCGGTTTACAAGACGCATACGGTTTGAGTGGCAGCTTCGTGGCAGCACTTCTCTTAGACAAACATCTTAAACGTCCCGTCTTCTAAATAATTAGAAGGCACCGACAAATGGGCCCAGCTGTTCGACTTTAGGATTCCCGGCCCAAGAATGCCAAATTAAATTTATATGCGTTTGTACAGCCTGAGTCATTACGATTATTTTTCATGTTTATGGATTTTCTAAGTACGGATGTAAGAAGATCTTTGTAAACAAATAGCTTTTCATTGTCTCGTTAATTGGAGAATAATATTTAATTAGGATGTCTCAAAAATATTTTGATTTAGAATGTTTTAAACTTGAATTTTAAATAATGACCTCTAAATTGGATTTTTATATCGAGGCAGCAAGAACGGTAATTTGTGGGTCACAATTTGTATCCATTTCTTAGGGATAGATCAATAATTGGCAACATTTAGTATATAATACAAATAATTAGAAAGAAGATAGATTATACTCAAGAATTACATATGGTATAATATACTATAACAGTATCGAATACAATACAAGAAGTCATTGAGAGATTATATTACATGTATGATATCACAATATCACAAAAAAAAAAGATGGCAAAACTCCTGGACCTGACAATGCATATACTAAACTCATAAAGCTCTTTAACTCCGGCGGTACTCAACGACTAACAAAAATATTCAATGACATATTTGAAGGGATTAGAAGAAACCATGAAGGTTGGACTGTATATTTGCGCTGGTTATGAACTTCTTGTTGAAATAAACTTGAATAAATTAATTAAAACTTTGACCGAATGAAAAACGTGTTTGTCAACTTGAAAGGAACAATTTATTCTGACATTATTTATTTTGACATTTACAATGTGCCAATTTTTTACTAGTTGGCGTATAATTTGAAGTTCAATATGCCCCCCACCTTGAAAGGGGTAACTTTCAAAACAATTTACATATAACAAAAAAGAAATACATACATAAGGTGAAATATACATACATAGGTGAAATATATATATATATATATATATATATATATATATATATATATATATATATATATACATAAGCTAAAATAGAGTTCACTTAAAAATGTACTTTCACATTATTTGTCCGTTTCAACCGGAAAGGACATATATTTGACACTGCCCTCCGAAAAACACCATTGGAAGTCTGCACTGACACAACCCTAGTAATGCCATCATTTCCAGGGTGAAGATCTCGTACTCGACCAAGAAGCCATTTCTTGGATGGTAGCTGCCTGTCTTTGATGAGAACTAAGGTATTTATTTTTATATTTGAACGATTCACCTTCCACTTCTGCCTCTGCTGAAGTTCTGAAATATATTCTAAAGACCAACGTTTCCAGAAATGTTGCTGAAGGAACTGGAGCCTTTCGTGTAACTGTAGACGAGTTTCCTTTTCATTGGATATGTCGACTTCAGGAATTGAGTTGATTGATCGGCCAATTAAGAAGTGAGAAGGTGTTAGCGGATTCAAATCGGAAGGATCATTGGAAAGAGGAGAAAGAGGTCTAGAATTTAGTATTCCTTCTATTTGACTTGATAATGATAAAATGTCAATTGCAATTCTACGTAGAAAACGGTTAGTAATCAAAACAAAATTAACAAATTTTAATAATTATTTAGATAAAATAAAAGTTTTAGACAGATCAGAATCTTCCAGACAGTCGATTTCATCTTGAATATTTTCAAATGTTTCTATTAAATTATTTATTTTAGAAAGACGTATTTCTAACTCCGCCACTGGAAGATTCTGCTCGTCTAAAACTTTTATTTCATCTAAATAATTATTAAAATTTGTTAATTTTGTTTTGATTACTGACCGTTTTCTACGTAGAATTGCAATTGACATTTTATCAGTATCAAGTCAAATATTAGGAATAATAAATTATATTGAATGAAAAATAAAGAAAATTATAATGTAGAAAAGTTAAAAAAGGATATTACTTCGTATGACTTCATAATACTTCGTATTCTAACAGCACCAGTCCGTTACCTT